GCTGTACATCTGTGTTGCATGGAGTCACCCAACTTCTGGCCCCTGTGATCAGGTATTCCAGCCCAGGATGATTGGACTACATTCCACAGTTCTTCTCTATTTCTTGGTTTTGCCTCAGAAACTGCATTTTTGATGTCACCCCCCACAAGTTTTCTATTGGATGAAGATCCGGGGATTGGGCTGGCCACTCCATAACGTCCATCTTGTTGGTCTGGAACCAAGATGTTGCACGTTTACTGGTGTGTTTGGGGTCGTTGTCTTGTTGGAACACCCATTTCAAGGGCATTTCCTCTTCAGCATAAGGCAGCATGACCTCTTCAAGTATTCTGATGTATTCAAACTGATCCATGATCCCTGGTATGTGATAAATAGGCCCAACACCGTAGTATGAGAAACATCCCCATATCATGATGCTTGCACCACCATGCTTCACGGTCTTCACAGTGTACTGTGGCTTGAATTCAGTGTTTGGGGGTCGTCTGACAAACTGTCTCCGCCCACTAGACCCAAAAAGAACAATCTTACTTTCATCAGTCCACAAAATGTTGCGCCATTTCTCTTTAGGCCGGTCAATGTGCTCTTTGGCAGATTGTAACCTCTTCAGCACACGTCTTTTTCCCAACAGTGGGACTTTGCGGGGACTTCTTGCAGATAGCTTGGCTTCACATAGGCGTCTTCTAATTGTAACAGTCCTCACAGGGAACGTCACACCTTCTTTCATCTTCCTGGAGCTGATTGTTGGCTGAGTTCCGCGCCATTTTGGCTATTCTTCTATCCATTCCAATGGTAGTTTTTCGCTTTCTTCCACGTCTTTCAGGTTTTGGTTGCCATTTTAAAGCATTTGCGATCATTTTAGCTGAGCAGCCGATCATTTTCTGCACTTCTTTATATGTTTTCCCCTCTCCAATCAACTTTTTAATCAAGGTACGCTGTTCTTCTGAACAATGTCTGGAACGACCCATTTTCCTCAGAATTTCAGAGAGAAATGCACTGTAACCAGCATGTCCAACATTTGCTGCCTTCCTTCCTTAAATAAGGGCAATAATTACCACCTGTTTTTCAAAGAATGAATGACCTCACTAATAGAACTCCACACTGCTATTATTTTGAACACGCCCCTTTCAATGAGTGATTCAATGACACAGAATCAGCAGCATGCATGTCATGACTGTGGGTCTGTTGGATTTCTATGACTCTACTACACCTGCTAGGAAATTATTTGCCATGTAGAAATATCATTTCTACCAAAATCAGTGATTGATCCGGTTAGTGATGTCTGACTGCTAGTATTTTCAACACAACTGTCAGTGCTAATAAGATTTTGTCACCTTCTCAAAAGCCTGGCTTCCTCTGGAAGTGGCACCTGGGGGCTAATACGGTTTGTCACCTTCTGGGGGAAACCTGTTTGAAGGAAATGGCTCCAGCCAGATTGTTTCCCTGACATTGGTGGCTGTAAAGGAATATACATACATCAAAGGAAATGTTTCATCTCTCATAACAGCTAAAATATTAGTTGCAGAGAGATGAAAATACTCCCTTCTGATGCTGCACCCTGTGGGTCACACCGACATATATAACATATTTGTGGGTTAGGTAGAAATCCAGGAAAATGTAGGAAATGGTTAGGTGGCGCTGGAGTGTGACAGTCGAACAGTGTTTGGTACTGTCGCGATCGGGCTGATGCGCTGGTGTCGAAATCCAATCCCCGACTTAGTGTTTCAAGCCAGTCTTGGTCTGATTGAACTTGGGCAGGTCAGCACCCAGAACATCCTGTGGGTGGGTACAGGAACACCCCCTCAGGGTCAATTGGCTGAAGACTAATGTCCCGCCTACGTCCATCTCCCTATAAATTGAGTACCCGGGCATTGGGACACTGTAATTCATATGGAGCTGGTCGATCGACTAACGGATTGCTGTTTCTCCCTGACTTGCTCCATTCGCAGGATAGATCTTGGTAAAGTTTTATTCTGTTTTATTCCCTTTTTATTTTATAGTGAATAGTCATTTGTGTCTTTTTGTATTTTTTGTATTTCTGTAACTTTTTATATTTTGTACATATTTTATGCTCCGCCCACATTCGGGATATTAAATCTTAAAATTATTAAGTGACTTCTGTGTATTTACGCTCGGGCTCATATCTCTGGAGAGATTAGATTGGAGAGATTAGATTGTATTGTATGTTAGTGCCTTTATATGCTCGGTCAAGCTCATTGCCAATCTGTATGCAATTGCACTGAGTGTGGGCAGATTGCATGCAGATTGTAAAGGTAACAGATCTGCCAGACGGAGATCTGTGTGTGTGGGGTGTCCCAGCAGACCGTTCTGCGGATAAACTGCTGGGTGGTGGCAGGCTACCGTTTGTGGTGTGTCTGGTGTGGGGGGGGGGGGTGTGGACACAGTGGAAGAGTGATTAACACCGGGGTTCAAGCTAGGATAGCTGGAGGGACCCTAGAAGGGTGTGTGATTGCTGGGCTGCTCCTCAACTCTAATCAGTGCACCAGATTGTATATATGATTTGTATCTGCCAGCAGGGGCGACTGACCATTCGAGCACTCGGGCACTGCCCGAGGGCCGGGGGTCAGTAGGGGGCCCCAGGAAAAGTCCCTGATACCTTTCATTGGCTTTTTTTGAGTTTGAGCAAGGACACAGGGGCCCCATGATCCCCTATTGCCCGGGGGCCCCATGAGTTGCCAGTCCGCCCCTGTCTGCCAGTGTGTGGTCAGCCAGCTGGATTGGAGTCTCCCTCTGTTGGTGGCCAAGAGGTAGTGCGGGCTGTGGAAGGATATCACGGCTGGTCTTATATACGGTTTTATATATTCAAAGTTCGGTCCCCTTTATTCCCTCGTACCCCAAGTCACAGCCGCACGTGCGCGCCTTGTTCAGCTAGTCGTTGTGGGCGTGGCATGTAGGGAATCCGTGACATGCCTTACAGATCGTATTTTCATAAATCAATACCGCAGATGTCGTCCTACTTTAATCGATGATCGATCGCTCGATGTGATCGATCGTGCCCTACATTAATCACGGATCACTATGGATACGGCCTCTTATAAATCGCAGACGGGTGTACAGATCTGAGCGCCTTTGTGAATGAGGTCTTATAGCCATATTTTCGATCGAACAATACCGCAGGCGTTGCCTCATTATAATCGATGATTATTCGCTTGATGCGATCACTCGTACCTAAGATCGCCGGGATATGGCCACGTTAATAAATCACAACGGGTGTACAGAGAGATACCCGAGGCCTAATGTTACAGATCGCGTTTTCGATCGATATTTTCAGTCAGTCACAGAATGGCGCGTGTGTTGCATCGTTTTTTTTATATTGTCTATTGGCTGCGCAGACAACCCGATTGGACAGTTGTGTGGGTTCGGATCCCCTCAGAGCAGGGGCGGACTGACCATTTAGAAACTCAGGCACTGCCCGAGGGCCCGGGGTCAGTAGGGGGCCCAATGAGATGCCCCTGGTACCTTTTTCACAGGCTTTTTTGAGTTTGGGCAAGGACACAGGGGCCCCATATCCCCTATTGCCCGGGGGCCCCATGAGTTGTCAGTCCGCCCCTGCCTCAGAGCAATCAGATTGGGACGAGTCGCTGTGTCCCAATAGACCTGAATGGGATGCATGGAACCCCCTGAGAGTCCCCTGCGGGCAAACCTGGCCCTTCACCCGGGGGGGGGGGGTGCAGATCGGTACACCGCTGTGAATGAGGCGTTTGTTACCGATCGATCGATATTTTCAGTCGGTATTTAATTAGAACAATACCGCACGAGTCGCAACATTTTATTCGATGATCAATCACTTGCTGGCGATCTCTGGTACCTAAATAAACGTGACTGATCGATCGAATGTTCAGTCGATATTTTCTGTCAGTCACAACACATGGAACAATACCGCGTCTTTGCACCATTTTAATCGATTAACGATAACAATTCTAATTGATCAATCACTTGTCGGCGATGTGTATACCGACGGATGGGATTATCGATTGATATTTCCAGAAGAATACTGTCTGCGTCGCATTATTTGATGTTTTATTGGATGATGAATACAATCAATTCGAATCCAACTTGTACTTTAATCGATCACGTATTGATCTGTGTACGAACGCCTTTATTTTACATCGATTTATATCGATCTGTGTATGGACGCCTTTATTTTACATCGATCTGTGTATGGACGCCTTCATTTTACATCGATCTGTGTATGGACGCCTTTTTTACATTTTACATCGATTTATATTTTACGATCTGTGTATGGACGCCTTTATTTTACATCGATCTTATATCGATCTGTGTATGGACGCCTTTATTTTACATCGATCTGTGTATGGACGCCTTCATTTTACATCGATATGTGTATGGACGCCTTCATTTTTTTTTACATCGATCTGTGTATGGACGCCTTTATTTTACATCGATCTGTGTATGGACGCCTTCATTTTACATCGATCTGTGTATGGACGCCTTCATTTTACATCGATCTGTGTATGGACGCCTTCATTTTACATCGATCTGTGTAGGGACGCCTTCATTTTACATCGATCTGTGTATGGACGCCTTCATTTTACATCGATCTGTGTATGGACGCCTTCATTTACATCGATTATATAGTGATATGTGTGTGAACACGTCGTACAGCGATGGACAGATCTCGCGTGTGTGGACACATCGTAACGATGACAGTGTCTATCGACCTCTCGATTTCTGTACGACAGGCAGGTGTAAACAAGTGTCTCCTCAGAGCTGTGACAGCGCTAAGCCCCGCCCTCTCCCCCACCCCCCTCAGCCGTAGCTCGGTCACGTGTGAAGGACAGCAGCGGATCACGTGATCTCCAGCAGAGGCGGTCATGTGACCCGGGATCGCGCCCTCCCTCTCAGGCCGTCCCGTGTTGTCCCCCCCCGTGTGAGGAGGCGATAATCGGTGGGAGGGCCCCTGTGCGGGGGAGGGGCGGGGATGTGCGGGCTCCCCCTCTGACTCCGGACATCAGAGGACAGACATGACGGTGAAGTTGGAGCGAGCTCTGTCCGACCTCTACCTGGAGACATTGCTGCAGAGCAAGGCCGCCCCTCCGGTGAGATGGGGGAGGGTGCTCGGTTGGTGTGTTCTCTGTGCTCGGTCGGTGTCCTCTGACTCTCTTCCCCCCCCCTCAGGCTCTGTCCTCCTCCGGGACTCTCCCCGAGGAATGTCCGACCAGCAATGGATGTCCGGAGGAGAAGAGGAAGGCCCGCCTGGTCCAGTTCCAGAGGAACACCGAGGAGCCCATGGTGAGAGACCGGGGGGGGCAACATGGAGGATGTGAGGGGGTCTGAAGAGAGGCAACATGGAGGGTGGGTCTGAAGAGGGGGGGTGTGAGGGGGGATTGAAGAGAGGCAACATGGAGGGTGTGAGAGGGGGGGGGGGGGGGCTGAAGAGATGTGGAAAAGAGGAAACATGGAGGATGTAAGGGGTTTGAAGAGAGGCAACATGGAGGATGTAAGGGGTTTGAAGAAAGGCAACATGGAGGGTGTGAGGGAGGAGATCTGAAGAGATGGGGGAAAAAGCGGCAACATGGAGGATGTAAGGGGTTTGAAGAGAGGCAACATGGAGGATGTAAGGGGTTTGAAGAAAGGCAACATGGAGGGTGTGAGGAGGGAGATCTGAAGAGATGGGGGAAAAAGCGGCAACATGGAGGATGTAAGGGGTCTGAAGAGAGGCAACATGGAGGATGTGAGGGGGTCTGAAAGAGATGCAACATGGAGGGTGCGAGGGAGGTCTGAAGAGATGGGGAAAAAGAGGCAACATAGAGGATGTAAGGGGTCTGAAGAGAGGCAACATGGAGGATGTGAGGGGTCTGAAGAGAGGCAACATGGAGGATGTGAGGGGGTTCTGAAGAGAGGCAAGATGGAGGATGTGAGGGGGTTCTGAAGAGAGGCAAGATGGAGGGTGTGTAGGGGGTTCTGAAGAGAGGCAACATGGAGGGTGTGAGGGGGGGGGGGGGGTGAAGAGATGTTGAAAAGAGGAAACATGGAGGATGTAAGGGGTTTGAAGAGAGGCAACATGGAGGATGTAAGGGGTTTGAAGAGAGGTAACATGGAGGGTGTAAGGGGTTTTAAGAGAGGTAACATGGAGGGTGTAAGGGGTTTTTTAAGAGAGGCAACATGGAGGGTGTAAGGGGTTTTGGGGGGAAGAGAGGCAACATGGAGGATGGAAGGGTGTAAGGGGGCAACATGGAAGGCGTGTGAGGGTTTGAAGAGAGGCAACATGGAGGGTGTAAGGGTTTTGAAGAGAGGCAACATGGAGGGTGTAAGGGTTTTGAAGAGAGGCAACATGGAGGGTGTAAGGGTTTTGAAGATAGATGAAAAAGAGGCAACATGGAGGGTGTAAGGGTTTTGAAGAGAGGCAACATGGAGGGTGTAAGGGTTTTTGAAGAGAGGCAACATGGAGGGTGTAAGGGTTTTGAAGAGAGGCAACATGGAGGGTGTAAGGGTTTTGAAGAGAGGCAACATGGAGGGTGTAAGGGTTTTGAAGAGAGGCAACATGGAGGGTTGTAGGGTTTTGAAGAGAGGCAACATGGAGGGTGTAAGGGTTTTGAAGAGAGGCAACATGGAGGGTGTAAGGGTTTTGAAGAGAGGCAACATGGAGGGTGTAAGGGTTTTTTGAAAGAGAGGCAACATGGGAGGGTGTAAGGGGTCTGAAGAGAGGTAAACATGGAGGATGTGAGGGGGTCTGAAGAAAGGCAACATGGAGGGCGTGAGGGAGGTCTGAAGAGATGGGGAAAAAGCAGGCAACATGGAGGATGTTTAAGGGGTCTGAAGAGAGGCAACATGGAGGATGTGAGGGGGTCTGAAAGAGATGCAACATGGAGGGTGTGAGGGAGGTTCTGAAGAGAAAAAAGGAAAAGGATGGGGTCATGGAGAGGTGTGAGGGGGGGGGGGGGGGGGGTGAAGAGAAGGAAAAGGAGGCGACATGGAGCATGTAAGGGGGGTCTGAAGGGGGGGGGCAAACATGGAGGATATAATGGGTATGAATGGAAGTAAGTGGGTGGGAGAAAACAACATGGAGGATGTCTGGGGCCATTGCGGCTTGGCATTAGATGTTATTATAATATGGGGGCTGTGTGAGGGTTCGGGGGACAATGGTACATGTGAGGGGTATAGGGGTCTGGGAATGAGGCGGGGGGAGGGATGGCATGAGGGAAAACACTGGGGGGGGGGGGCAGGTTGTCTGTCGAGGCAAATTGGAGGCCATGCGGATATGTCCTGACCTGAAATTAGGACATGAGAGAAGGTGCAGAATGGTGGAGGTGCGGGGGTGGGGTGGTAGCATGGGGGATGGGGAAGGTCCTAAGGCACAATGGTGAAGTCGGTGGGGGTTGGGTGTTGGAGGACAACATTGGGGAACACAGAGGAGCCGGCAGGCAGATGATGATGGAATACAGACTGTGCAGGTGTATCAATACAGAGGAGGTATTGGGGGGGGGGGGGTGACGGAGGAAGTACAGGGGGGGGGGTGACGGAAGAAGTACAGGGGAGGGGGGGGGGGGGTATGGGGGAGGATTTGAAGTACATGTTGGGGGTGACGGAGGAGTAAGGGGAGTGGGGGCTGTGGGAGGAAGTACATAGGGGGGGGGGGTGACGGAGGAAGTACAGCTGGCAGGGGGGGAAGGTCTTGAGGATGTTGGGGGGGCTGGGGTGACTGTCAGGAAGTACAGGGAGGGGGGGGGTTCTTTCGGAGGAAGCCTGGATCAGGTGGGCGGGTGACTTTCGCCGACGTACCGGGGGGGGGGGGGGTGACGGAGGAAGTACGGGGGGGGGCGACGGGGGGGGGGGGGCAGGAAGGAGGTATGGCGGAGGGAGAGATGGAGGAGTTTCATTGGGGTGTCCTGCATGTCAGGGGTCGCTGATTGGAGGAATGGGAAGTGGAGGTGTGGAGTTCCGGTCACATATTACAGATAGGAATTTGCTGCAGCCCGGGGAGTAGGTCTTGAGGATGTTGTTCCCGCTGGCTGTCAGTGTCAGGAGGGCGGGCGTTCATTCTTGCGCCGGGTCCGCCGGGGTCAGGGAGGGCGGCGTTCTTGCGCCGGGGTCAGGAGGGCGGCGTTCTTGCGCCGGGGTCAGGAGGGCGGCGTTCTTGCGCCGGGGGTCAGGAGGGCGGCGTTCTTGCGCCGGGGGTCAGGAGGAGGGCGGCCTAATGGCTAAAGTGAGATGAGTTGTAGATCTAGTAATTATAGGCAGAAGGTCCCTGAGCCCTGAACGTTGTTCCCGGGGTTCCTCCATGTCCAGTATGGTGGGTGAGGCCGGGATGTAGCGTTGTATATTAGTAGTAGCTGCTAGTAAAGCCACATATGTGATGGTAGATATTCGTGGTTGGTTAGTCTGTATATGTGGCCCCCGGACTGTTAGTGGCCCCCGGACTGTGTCATACTTGTGACATTTGCGCTCCTTCTGGGGTGACTAGTTCTGGCAGAGCAGCCCGGTGTTGTGCAATACATGAAGTGCTGAAAGTCGCTGATTAGTTGGTCTGCAGCCCAGATAGTGCTGCTCAGCAATCTTATCTTCCACCTCGTCAGCATTCTTCATGTTTTATGTTCATACAGTGCTGCACGTTCTTCTTCCTTTTTTTTTTTTTTTTTTTTGTTTTTTTCCCTTTGTGTTACAAAGAACACTGAACCCTGCACACCGGTCCTTTCCTTTTTCCTAAATGATCTTACGTGCTGAAGTCCCTATCACAGTCCTGCGGACACGTGTGGATGGAAGCGGATCGTCCTAGCAAGTATTTGTTGGGTTTATAGGAAGTATATGCAGCCTGAAGGGGGGGGGAGGGGGGCTCATGTAGGGTAGCATCATGGGTGGGATTTGACCCAGAACCCCAGTGCTGGAAAGTCAGTGCTAAAGCCATGCAGCCTGGGGAAGGCCTATTCAGAGGGCACCCTTGATGGGATTTTGATCCAGAACCCCAGTGCTGGAAAAGCGCAATCCCACGCTAAAGTCATTTTGCTTGCCAGATTAAAAATAAAGTTTTGTAACCATGGATCTATTGTACACAGCATCCCCCATCCTCTTTCAGAATTTTTTAAGAAGCACTTGGACCACCTACACTAGGGGTGCTGAGCCTGTGGCCCTCAAAGCATTCTGATGTGTGTCCTCAACCTCAAAGCAAGAAAGGTCACTTCTAATATATCCTGTGGGGTTGCTGGGCTTTCGGAGTGCAGGGGTATTTCAGAAAGGACAACACACCCACGCGATATAGAAGACGTCCATGGCAAAGTGCAGCTAACCCGCAGGAAAGCTGCAGGTGCACTGTGCTGCACCTGCGGGCGGGTAGACCGCAGCTCATCAGTGTGAAAGCAGCCTTCTAGGGGGCTCAAGACAGTAAGGGCTTGTTTATATTTGCAGTTTGGGGACAGTAAAAGCCCATAGTTGAGATGTTTTTACAAACCCCCCCCCCCCCCCAACCACTGGTGGTGTGTCAGGGATGTCAACATTATGCTATTCAAAATAAAATTTAAAACAATTGAAATTCTGAATGATTTTCATTTCATTGTGGCCCGCAATCGGCTATCAAATCGCTTAAATGGCCATCGCTCTTCAAAAGGTTGAGCACCCTGGTGCAGCAATGTCTGTGGACGAACCTGACCGCCACTTCCTCAGCTTGAGAACCCCCACGGATTATGAGCCCCCCCCTCCCCCCCCCCCCCGGTACAGCCATGTCTGCGGACACCTGAAAGTCACTCCAACCAGCTTGAGCACCCCTGGTGGCCATGTCCGTGTTCACCCACCCACACCGTCACTCCTCAGCTTGAGTGCCCCCCCCCTGGTATAGCCATGTCTGGACACCTCAACGTCACTCCTCAGCATTGAGCCCCCCCCCCCCCCCCCCCGGCGTTTTGTTATAGCCATGTCTGGACACCTGACGTCACTCCTCAGCTTGAGCACCCCTGGTATAGCCCTGTGGACACCTGACCGTCACTTCTCAGCTTGAGCCCCCCCGGGTATAGCCATGTCTGTGGACACCTGACCGTCACTCCTCAGCTTGAGTGCCCCCCTGGTATAGCCATGTCTGGACACCTCAACGTCACTCCTCAGATTGAGCGCCCCCCCCCCCCCCCCCCCCGGCCGGTATAGCCATGTCTGGACACCTGAACGTCACTCCTCTGCTTGAGCCCCCCCCCCGGTATAGCCATGTCTGTGGACACCTGAACGTCACTCCTCAGCTTGAGCACCCCTGGTATAGCTATGTCTGTGGGACACCTGACGTCACTCACTCCTCAGCTTGAGCACCCCCC